TCAAGATAAAAAATCTAATACTAAACGTTTCAAAGAGAAAATAATAATATTAATGATATTTGAAACAATCTACAGTTATTTTGATGATGATGTTTAACGAATAGCCAATGAGTTGACCTTCTCTCTTTTGTTTTCGATTTCGATAAAGGTTGACTGAAAATTGGAGTATTATTCCCATGATTGAATATATATTATAATGTATTGTATTGAATAATTGTAATCCTCTATTGGAGAAGTTTTTTAATATTGACTTTCAACCTTCTCCTATATTTCAAATATTTGAAAAAGAGATGTATTATTATCATTATCATGCATTACTCTGTCATGTCATATATAGTGTGTTTGTAATATGTTGTCCTCATGGGCTTATAAGCCTATTGAAAATGAAATAAATAAAAATTCAAAATATCAACAAACAAAATAACAATGTATATGAATATGTAATCATTTGCTAAAACGCAACATTGTTATCCGAATATCATGACTATCATTGTTATTCGAATATTCTTACTTTCATCATTGTTATTCGATCATTGTGAATCTTCTCATTGTTTTCGAATTTCGTGAATATCATCATGTTATACGGATATCGTGAATATCATTGTAATTCGAATATCATGAATATCATAAATTATTCGAATATCGTGAATATCATCGATGTTATCCGAATATCGTTGCTATTCGTATGTCGTGAATATCATAATTGTTATTCGAAAATCATGAGTATCTTCATTGCTATTCGAATATCGTAAATATCATCGGTGTTATTCGTATATCGTGTATATCATTAATTTGTTTTTCGTATGTCGTAAATATTATAACTGATATTCGAATATCGTCAATACCATCAGTATTGTTATTCGAATATCATATTTAAAACAATCCAAATTTAAATATTAAGATACTCTTTGTTAACGTTACCAACAAAGTTCATATAATTATTAAGCAAACTTTCTAGTAAACCTTAATGTAGTATTACAAACTTTTATAACCTTAAAAGTTGATTGAAATTACAATGATAAGTAATGTCGCGACAAGTTGACACAATATGGTGAGTACATTTGCATAAAACACACAGCTTATTTGATCTTTAGATAGAAACAATTAAATAGAAGATTTAAGTATATACACCTTAAAAAAATTGCGGACTAAATCACAATAATTTTATCGTTAAATTAAAACGTTGAAAAGATGCCGATCTAATACAAAACTCTGATATATAGTACTAGCATATCCATATCAACCCATTAACCTTAATTTTCTAAATAAAAATATTCACAAATCTTAACTTGTAGATATGTTACTTATTCTTGCATGGAGCATTTTAAAGTGTTAAAATATTTGATCAATTACTTTATTGTGAAACTTGAGTTAAAAAAATATTCTGCCGACAAAGCCACTGTGTACATCCCTGTTATTTTTCACAAATTTTCTGTTAAAACTTGGTAAGTGTTTCATACAATTATGACTATGTCCCTTAACAATTACGAATTTAAAGAAATAAACGTTCCGTTTTCCACAAAATCTTAGTAAGCGACTATTAAGTACCTGTGCTATCAACTTAATCGGAAACTTTCCTTTCAATTAAGGGCCTATATAAACATTATGGATATTATTCTGATAACAGACAACCAAATAACGTTTTTGTACGCCAGAAGTTTATATTTTTTTATATTTAAATACTTGTTTGTAATAACTGAAATGCGTCGTATCTTTTGTAAAATGTGAACTCACGAGATATAAATCGGGCATTGTTAAACTGTAACATAATATAAAAAGTGATGAAAAAGAATAAATTAATAAAATTATTTTGCGGCAATTTTGTAAACTTATTAACATATTCTACAAAAGCTACTTTTAACTTTTTTTAAATTTAATTTATAAGATATCAGATTTAACTTCTGATATATGTGTGTCACATTCTAGTAACTTTAGAATCATTTAAAAAGAAATGTCGAAAAATAGGTATACATTTTATCATATCTATGTCATTTTTTGCTACTTGTGGATGCAATAAGGTTTGACCTATTTCTACCAAATTTAACCAGTCTTAAATTGAAGGTAAAAGTAAATGAAAGATATTTGTTTATGACAAAAATTAATTATTGCTTTGTATACAAGCTTCATTTCATATTTAAATTTTCATAATTCTTATGCTGTTAATGATTTATTTTGTTATACAAAATGCAAATAAGATAAGTATGTATGTTTATGTTTTGTTATGAATTGTTAATACAACAAAACTAATCGGTTTTAACATACAACGTTTGATTTTTTCGATTAAGGTAGTGATGACCGTAAAAAGAAGGTTATTTATTAGTTTAAAGCAGCATGCCTCCAGATGAGGGAAAATATTTAAATAAATTCAAACTTGAGGAAAATGTACTAAGAGTTTACGAAAGTGAAAAGATTCAAGATTCGAGTAATTCTCGCATACTTTGACCTCTTTTTTTATAATGAGTTGTAAATTGCTTTTTTTTGCTTAGTATACAATATTATGCTTTAATTCCATTTTCAAAATATTCATAACCTTGAGGCTTGAGGTGTGCTGCTTTAATTGACAACACACTTCGATGACCACTTCAAATCACAGGACAAATAAAGTGCTTGATCGGACCAATCTGACCCGCGAAATTTGATTATATATCGCTGACCAGGAAACTAGCGGGAGAATAAAACCACTTACTTTCCACCATCCGTTAAGAGATGGCCACTTATTTTAAAAGTTCGTTTACTATATATATAAAGGTATTACACAAATAGACATGGATAGTAATTTTCATGAAATTCATATATATATATGTAAAACTTTGACCAATTAAGCATTTTGAAGGACAGCTTTATCCTCTTCCGAAGCAAACATGAATGTGTACTGCTCGACCTTTAACAAACCATGACATTGATGCTGTGCCATGGATTTTATAAGCACATAACACAGGGCTAGCACTGGCAGATTTTTTCTTTGAGCCAATTTTTCGCGGCGAAAATTGCATGCCTGTATTTTATTTTCAAGAAGGCAAAGGTACTGCAAAATAACCAGAATTCAATTGTCAGACTTATTTATAGCATTAGTTCATCTATGGAACACCTTAAAAAGGCATGACATATTTAGGAAAAAAAACATACACTACATTTATATCCAACTTTATTTTGGTAGCTACATTTTAATCACTTTAAAACTGATCATAAAAGCTTGCAGCTCATTAGCTATACGAATAACATTTTCCAGGCTAATTTGGTCAGCAATGTTTTCATAAAATCTTAGTTAGTGGCATGACAGTGGCATCAGAACCACATTTCAATGTGCTGCTTCAGCTTGCTTGGTTAATGCCAAAGATTTGGTTTGAGGACTATCTGTATCTGAAATTATAAAAACAGAAACATTTGAGAGTAAGAAGAATGAAGAGAAGAATATTGAAAAGTTCTAAACTAAACATAATTCAGAGGAAAAAATGCTAACTATTCATTATAAGAGTACAGTAATTAGCGTAAGTTTCCTTAAAATGTATGTTGTATGCTTCTTGAATTTTCCATAAACATTTCACAGCCATGTATGCCATTTGTAAATGAATGCTCCAGATAGAGGTAATGTACGAAGTAAGGTCAATTTATTTTCAGGAATACTAATTGTCAAATATACTCCTTGTCAAATTTATGAATGTGTACTGCTCGACCTTTAACAAACCATGACCTTGATGCTGTGCCATGGATATTATAAGCAAATTCAGGGCTAGCAGCTGATAAACATGTAAACATACCATGAGGTCAATGTATTAGACTGTGTTACTGTTTTATATCGATATTTTACTTGGAAGGGAAGTCACAAATATAGACCAGTCAATGACCCCACAAAAAGGAGACTGTGTCGCAGTGTTTTTTGATAAGGAGCGGTAAAGCGGAAGTTGTAAATGGAAAACCAAATGTGTACTTTTCCATTCTTAAAATAGCAAATGCTTAATTTAGACTTGATATTCCAAAAGTTATACTTTTCGTAAGTTGGAGCCAATCATGATTTTCTTGAGCCAATTTAATAATTTTGGAGCCAATTTGCTAATTGGCTCCTGCCAGCGCGAGTGATATGTCCCGATTTTAGTTATGATATTTTGATTGTGACTCTAATGAGTATGTGTTACAGTTATAGTTTTCATGTTTTAAAAATCATTCAGGTGAGAATTACAAGAGTGCTGGTTATGTTATAGCATTGACATTGGAAGTAGTCTCCTGGTTGTTGCCCTTTTAATTGAAATAATAGTATGCTACAAAGATACATAACAATCTTCTTCTAAATGAATAACAAAATAATAGTAATGAAAGATATACAAATTTTACCGTTTTGAGTCTGTCTTTTTATGGATTATATTTTCCTCATTTTTTCAACTTTTTTGATCATATTTCCACTGTTGAAAAATGTCATGTTAAATCTGTGTGCCAATTGTTTTGATATGTTACAAAATAAGTGAGTTGTCTCATCTGTTCATGTGTAAAAGATCAGAATCACATGGTTAAAATAAGTAGTTGCTTTAAAATGTTAATTTTTTATTTTTCGTCATGATAGATAATTTTCATTGATAAACGTGATCTCTTTGAAAAAATGTACTTTTTTCAAGACAGTATAGACTGCATATAACTTCTTATAATTATAAGCCTGTTGCGTAATTAAATACGCTATAACTTACCACAAGTTGTCGAGTTATTTAGCCGGTTAATCTGTATTTCAGTACTTTGATTCATTTATTAAACAAATTTACAATTCTTCTTATAAGATGAGCGAAAGTATCATTCGTGTGTCAGTTAGTATCATATTTTAAAACCGAATTGTTTAGGATGTAAAGATAATATCATATACTTTGAATACTATACCTACAATTATTTAGCCAGCCATTCAGTCATTCGAAACAGTTGTAGCTCATTTACTCATACCAGATACTGAAAGGACATTGTTTAGTTGTTAACAAGCATTGCATCTCTTTACTTTCTATTTAAACGTCAAACGGTGCACAATGAAACCTGCAGGTGTTTTCGGTGCGTTGGATTATCTAGTTTTCTTTGCCACAATAATTATTTCATTTGGAATTGGAGTAGTTTTTGCTGTTCTTGATAGAAAGAAAAACACGCCCGCGGACTATTTTCTTGCTGGAAGATCTTCAAGAACATGGCCGGTAGCTCTTTCGTTTGTAGTTACATTCCAGTCGTCTTTAATGATACTTGGATTTCCAGCTGAAGGATATGCTTATGGAATCGGAATAGCATACTACGGAATTGGTGCAATTTTTGCGTACACTTTCGCAGCAATATTTATTGTACCACTTTTTCATCCTTTGAGACTAACAAGCGTCTATGAATACTTTAATCTTCGGTATGGTAACAACGTTTTGCGATATGTTACTTTAACGGCAGGCATTGTGTACAGTGTATTTTACATGGCCTCAGTGACTGTTGGCACGTGCATTGCTTTAGAAGTTGTAATGGGTATTCCTTTTTGGGGAACAATCATAATTTACACGACTGTAACTGCAATATATACATCAGTTGGAGGAATAAAGGCAGTTATCTGGTCCGACGTTTTCCAGCTTATTATCATGGTAACAGGAATAATAGCGGTTTTGGTCAAGACGAGTGTAGATGCAGGAGGATCCGAAAAAACCTTCGAATATGCCAATGATAGACTTGATATTGCAGACTTTCGTCTTGATCCAACGATAAGATATCAGTTTTGGAATGTAAGTTTTGGAACATTTAGTATAATGTTGTATGTTTGTTACATGCAGCCAGCCATGCAAAGAGTGTACACTACTCCGACAGTTAAGACTGCTCGTAATTTGTATTTGATTACAATGCCATTCTATTCTTTATTTATGGTCATGGCTGCTCTTGAAGGCGCAACGATATTTGCATATTACGTTTCAAAGCGTTGTGATATCCTGGGTGCAGGAATAGTGTCAAATGTAAACGAAATCCTTCCATTTACTGTTCTTGAACTTTTCCAACACCAACCTGGATTGTCTGGTCTATTCATTGCATCCTTATCAAGTGCAGCACTTAGTACCCTGTCATCTTGTCTGAGTAGTCTGTCTGCAGTGACATACGAAGACATTATCAAAGTGAAATTTCCGGGTATGCATCCATACAGAGCAACGAAAATATCTAAAATTATCGTTTTAATGTATGGCCTTGTTTCAATGGCGCTGGCCTTTGCATTATCACAGATTCCAGGGTCTGTGACAGAAGTTTTCGCTAGTCTTGTTGGCTGTTTGGACGGTCCAGTATGTGCTATATTTGTATTATCAGCGATGTTCAAACGTGCGACAACAAAGGGTGTGTGTATAGGGGCAGTTTGTGGAATGATTGTTTCTTTATGGATAAATATTGGTGGAATGACCTCTGATCTACCTGCCTATCCCTTTTTACCATCTGGACCTACTGATCAATGTCATATTTTTGAAGAAGAATCAAGTTATAACCTGTCTATTTCAATTGCGAAATCTACAGAAAACGCAACTTACATAACCCTTGGTGGAAATATCACAACATCAACGTCGCAAGCAGATGTAATCTCGGACAGTTCTCTGTTAGAGAAAATATATAGTGTTTCTTATATTATGTTTTCTTTTATCGGATTCATTACTGCACTTATTGTTGGAATCTCCATAAGTTTGTGCACGTCAAAACCAACGAAAGTCGATAAAAGGTGCATATTTTCCTTTCGAAAGCATGTCGTAGAAGAACTGTTTGGAAGTAAAGCAGAAAACGCACCCAGTCCCAAGGAAGTTGAGGAAATTGATAATTTTTTGGGTTAAAATGAAGACTTTTAGATTGATACTTACCTCTAATGGGATTGAGTGACCAGTCACGGTCGAAGTTCTAGTACAATTCTACGATTGCTCCGTTACTTTTTTGACTTGAATACAATAACTAATTATGTTAGTATATTAGTATTTACATTAATAATGTATTAACATTCATTGTATATTATTGTTTCTCTGTTATTTTGTAAACAAATGTATACTTTAAGTTTGATAACAATCTTAGACACCATATATGTTCCGGGATCTGCAACACTATATTGAAATAATTATACGACTCAATCAATATCATCTGTACACTATAATTATACCAATAAAATTGTTAAGGTTATTACATTCAGCATTATTAACACCAACTTTATATAAATATATTTTGTACACTAGAGATCTTAATTCTTTTTTTAAATATAATGAAAACAGGTGTACATCCTTGGATCTTGTCTAGCCATTAAAGACCAAGAATATGTGCATTATCTAAGTGTAATTACATTTTCATGCTAAGGAATCGTTAAAATAAAGTATTACAACGGGGCCAGTGGTATGATACGACAATTTTAATGGAGTTTCGTATAAAGATATTTACTAGTCAATAAGCACTTAAATCTGGTTGTCGTATACATATGTATTTTGTGATCTTCAGCATAAGGATAGTGCAAATTTTACTTGGGTTTGACGTCACACCGACACAGTATAGGTCATTTTGCGACGTTCCAGCTTTACTGGTGGAGGAAGACTTCAAGTGCCCCTCCGTGCATTTTTTTCAGGCACGAACGGGCACCTGAGTAGGACCACCGACGTTCCGCAAGCTAGCTGGATAGCTTCCTCACATGAAAGAATCCAAAGTCCTTTTCGGGATTCGAACCGACAGCGGCGAGTGGCAAGTGGTTTGAAGTCAACGACCTTAACCACTCAGCCACGGACGCCCCCTAAAAGGATGGAGCAATATGTCAGTGATCTGTAAGTTATCTAATGTACTGTAATGTGCAAATGAAATGTGATCATTTATGTAAGCTTTAATAAATGAAACGCGATCCGGTTTTAGAAATTAACATACATTTGTATTTTGATAAATGACATGAATAACATGTAATTTGAATAGGCGTTGAATTTTAAAATTGAAATATTTTAAGTGTTTAAGGGATATATAAAAGTGGCCATAAGTATCTGACGTAAATTGTTTTGCAATGTCTTCTGTACATGATGGACACGGGAAATTTGTTCATGATTGACCATAATCTGTATGTATCGAAGATATATAATATTGCCCATATTAGTAAATGAGATTATTTATATGAAGATAGAGAATCAAAATCTAAAGAGACATCTACGGAGGCAAAGAGGGACATTCAGATTTTATTTTATTTTCATATATTGTGGCCATGAGATATAACTCAGAAAAAATGCTATCTCGAGAGTAAACTCAGAGAAAAATAAATCATAAACAAATCCCTATGTCGTGGCCAAGAGTTGTTACTCAGAAAAAAAGATCGAGAAACAAAATGCTATCTCGTTCCAACGAGATACAACTAAGAAAAAACTCCTTATCTCTTTCTCACGAGAAATAACGTAAAAAAAAAAAAAAAAAAAAAAAAAAAAAAAAATAAATCGCTATCTCGTTCCCACGAGATATAACTCAAAAAACAAAAAGTGCGATTTTTTCTGAAAAATATAACTCGAGGCCACGAGATAGCAATTATTTTCTGAGTAATATCATATGGGAACGAGATAACTTTTTTCTGAGTCATATCTCTCGTGGCTACGAGATAGAAATTAAAATATAATCGGAGTGTCCCGTCTGCGCTTTCGTAGACATCTATTCGACTGTCGGGTATAGTAATTCGAAAAATTATTTGTTTCAAATAAAACACTCAGAAACATTTATTTGAAATAAGTTAACACTAAACAGGTTTGATAGATGCACGCGTAATGATTACGCGATTAGCTGCACTGTATATGTAATGGTGTATTTTGTAAAGTAGCTTCTTGAGGCTTGAAAAATTAAGTCTGTATTTAAATATTTGACGAATGCAAGCAATCAATCTGACTTCGCAAGAAACAGCTGATAAACTTGGCGTTTCATTCGAAAAGCAATTTATCAATGTCATAATACAATTTACGATTACTATTTCGTAACATTGCATAACAACCGCATGTTGAAGTGATCAGTTATGTACACTTTTTAAACAGATATTTTATTACATATATCAACTATAGAGCTTTACATAAAATTAAACCGCCTCAGTGGTTGAGGGGTTAGAGTCGATGACTTCTAATCAAGTTACCTCTCTGGCGTTGGTTCGATCCCCGGGAGATGCTTTGGTAGTTTAGCGCGGAGGAAGGTAGTCTAGTACTGGTGTAACTCTCCAAGAACGATGGTTAGGAAACTACCCGCCTTTATGACTGAAATAAAGTTGGGAAAATGCGTAAAATGAATCAAACAAAAACAAAACATCAAATACGGAAGTTGCGTCTATAAGTTGCCCATTTATACATTTTGCAATCGATATAAATAGTCAATTTTGAAGATAAAATAAAATGTATTCAATTCCTTAGCTCTTGAAAATCAATACCGAAAAAAATCCCTATCTCCATACCAATTCATATTTTAACATATCTCCGAAAATGACGACTTTTTATTTCCAACGTGAAGTTAAACATCTTGTGACGTAACGTTCTTTTTGAAAATTACGTTAAGAGTTATTTTTACAACATACCACAATTATTAATTCATCATATTACATTATTGTAACCACGGCGCAAGGCTAAAATAAAGCCATATGAAAAAACAATATTTCGCTAGTGTAATAACGACATTTGTGTTATATACAAACATAGCGTTAAAGCGCATATAATTAATGGTAGCGTTATACATTAGGCGCTTCAGTGACAACTGTCACTTTTTAACTGTAAACCATTCTCATTATGCTCCCCGAAGGGTAAGCATATAGTCGTTGCTTTGTCCGTCCCTCCGGCCGTCTTTGTAATTTTGTAGGTAGATAAATCTAGTAAGGTAGATGTGCAGTGCACTCTGCCTTGCTTACTTTTGGAGGTTTTGCCCTTTTACACTTTTAACTTTGTCCGGGACATAACTCTCAATCCATAAGAGGTGTCAATAATAACCTTTGTAGGCTGCTAGATCACATTGGGTAGAAATGCTGTGCAAAGGAACCGTACTCTACATTGCCTATATTTAGAGTTACTGCTTTTTGTTCATTGTTACATTTCGAACTTTGTCCGGGACATAACTCTGAAACTATAACTTAATAAAGTGATATCAACATGAAACTTTTTGGTAGATAGATCTCATACACTTTCCCACGATAGATTAAAAAGTTATGTTCGAATAAACGAAACAATGTGGCAATCTTTTTTATGGTTTAGTCTGTAGCTATAGTTCAACCTAACATTTGTAATTATGAATTATTGTTTGAGCATCACCACATTCAATCTTTTGAAATATATATTCCATTTCAGATCAAACTGCAGCAATATGTCACTTTATTATTTTAAAATTGTTTTTTTATTTCATTCTTTTTTTAAACTATTTTTGAGGGAGGTGTGGGTTTGTTGGGGATGGGGTCAGGGTCGGGGCCTCTCGCACCAAACTTGCAAGGGTCATATGATGACTGTCCAGCTTTAACAACCGACGCTCCTTAGGATAGCTAGATAGCTTTCTCAAATAAAAGAATCCCTATAAGGATTCCAAACCACAGCGGTAAGGGGGAGGGGGGGAGGGTAAGTAATTTAAAAGTGAGGTGTTGAAGTTAACGAATAACCAATCGGCCACGGACGCTCCTAATATAAAATGAAAAGGAAAATAAAAAAATGGACTTTAAAAACATACAAACATAAATACCTTGAAAGAAAAATAATACACAAAAAGATACGGTGTTACATGTGCTATTATAGTTATAACAAAACTTGCTTCTAAAAATATGTCAACAATGTACCTTCCGAGAAAGGTTCGTTCCTGAATTGCTAATTGTATAGTGCAGGTCCATCTATTCTTTAACAATTATCAACTTAGTTAAAGTGATAGATAGACGTATTCAAGATGAATCTTAAGCGAAATTAAATTAGCTAATACCTTTCTTACATTTTCCAAAGCGTATTTTACTTCTGTTTGGTAGTTTTTGTGAACGATACAAAATATTAGGTATTTACACGAAATTTGCGTATTTTATTTGAATTATTGTTATTTTAAAACAGAGTATACGTTAAATAGTTTCGATGATTTTTATGTTTTTAAAAAGTAGTACAGCTGCGTTTGAGAGATACTAAGTGAATGTAATTGCATTTCGTACTCAAAAGTACCCATTCTGGAGATGAACGTTTGATATAATAACTCAAATGCTAGGCAAAACAGTAAAAGTAATATATTCAGATTGACACAATACAACATCTGCAAAATATCATTAGATATTAGAGCGTGGCAACAGATGCAGACGACGAGAACAGATGTATAATAATATACATAAAAATCGAGACCAGAAAGAGAAATGAAATATTCTTATTCGAGAAGCCTTTGCACAAATAAGACAACAATTTAACAGCTTCCATTAACAGAGACATGCTTGCCTAATTACGTGTATACCAGTTAGTTTCAAACACATATGCTTTCTGGTCTTATTTATTTTGAACTGAAACGCAAAAAACTAGCAACACATTGTTACAGTTTAAACAGTTGATATTAAATTTCAGCAAGAGCAATGATTCTTTATGCCAAAATTATTTTGTATCGTCATTTTATAGAATATCCGTCAAG